ATTACAGAGCTGTTGAGATACTGCAGGGAGGTGGAGGTAGTTTTCTCTTCCTGATATTTCAGAACAGACTGAGATTCCAGATTGGAGATGCCTTTGGTCTGAAGGCCATATTCATAAGAGCTCCAGCACTGTGTAGTTTTGAGAAAATACAGACAATATTTGAGCCAAAGTCATTGTATGTCACTTGAAGTAAAATTTCAAAGAAAAAAACCCATGCCATCAATATTTTGGTTGTTTATATTGTGCCACAGTAAAGATCATTTAATTTTGTTCCCTAACCTACCCCTCCTGACATAAGATACTTGATGCCAGAGGTGAAACTTTTCTCCTCACACCACACAGAGCAAAACTCCATTGTATGACTTACCAACATTGAGAAAAAGGACTTGTAAACCAGTGGAATTAAACACAACATGTTAATTATAGATTTTGGAACATAAGGGATGAAAAGATAAATATAAAATACGTACCAATAATAGCAATACATAAAATTTCTGATGATTCTCTGAGTATTTTTAGAAAGCAGTGCATTGCTGCAGTATGCAACTGAAATATCACCCAGTGAGACTTCAGCATAATTAAGCAATGATTAATCAATACTTAACTAAAGAAATTAAGCTCAGGAGAAACAATTAATTGAAGTTAAGTGAACTTTGACAGCTCATATTAAACCAAGGCTCTAATTAACAAAAGCATTGTGCATCCTCTAAATGAAGGGATGTGCAGGCTTCAGGTGCCAGGGATGGGGTGAGTGTTACTCTGCAAATTTCTTGATGCTGAGGAGTCACTTATGGAGAGCTTCATTTCAAGGCTTTGAAAAGAGAAGAGGATGTTTCTTTGGTTGCTCACAGTGCTGTTTGGTGACTTGACTGTAAGACAGCTCAGGTGCTCTCTGGTGGAACAAATGCAGTCTCCTGCTAGGGTTTCCAGCCTAGCCCCATGTCCTTCAGGCTCTTGTCATTTAGGACCAAGCTGCTGGATGAGGTGGCACTGCTGTAATGTCAGTGGCATTGCTGAACTCTGTAGAGCCAAGGAACTTTGGCCCTTCACATCACTTGGAGCTCCACAGCCCAATTTCCTGCAGGATTTGTGGCTGTGAGGAACCCCAGCAGGGGCAGCTGTCCCCAAAGGGCTGAGCCCAGGGAAGGTCTGGCACAGGGAGATGGGAGGAACAGTCTGGGGGACCTGAGAGAGCCCAACTGTGACAGAATTTCCTCCTTCTCATGTCTCTCTCCTCTCTGTTCTTGTGTTTTTATCTTCCCCCCAACACTTTTAATGTTAGTAAATGCCATCATCTATGGACACAGTTTATCAATCCTTGTGAATGTGACATTGCCCCAGTTTCTTTTCTGCAAAATTTTCTCAAGAAACCACACAGTCAAGATATCTGATCTAGTGCTTCTGAAAAAATTGATTTATTACCTGGAGAACANTGGTCCCTTCTGACCAGGCTGATTGCCCTGATAAACTCATACTTCCAACTTAACTGCCTGTTCATCTCAGTGGTCTCAACACCTGGATTTACAAGTTTTGTTTTCTGGTACTAAAGCCCCTGATACAGCTGTGGTTGATGACTGTGTCTGCTAAGCTAGGTTACAATATAAATAAGTAACACTGAGCTGTAAAATTGTGGCTGACACCAAGAAAGCTGACAAAATGGGAACGTTTTTGTCTTTGGAATTAGCATAAGAAAGTTGAGGATGTGCATCAAGTTGATGCAGCTAAACTTCCACAAACAGCTTGAGTTCCATGTGGCAGGATCCTGGGGATTGTAATTAAGATCAATGACTTGTCATTTTAATGAATATGGATCCATAATTGCACTGGGAAATTTAGCTTGTTGTGTCCCAGTGCTACAGTTTCCTTTATAGAAATCAGGGACGGTAAAAATTCCTTTTTTCTGATTCTTTGTTTCTCCTTTTCCAGTGAGCGTGTGAGGGCAGGAGTGTGTTCTGCACCTGCACCAGTAATGACCTGGACTTGGAGACAGAGTCTAGATGAAGTTGCACAGAAAGTCATGACAACAGACTTGCTTTTCACTTTCTTGGTTATGTGTTGGTACAAATTTAATACAACCAAGCAGTTTTATAGAAGTGAGGCTTCTGCTTTTGATCAGAATCCAGAAACACAGAGTTGTGATAAGAAGTTAATAACAGAGGACAGATTTATTGTACTCTGGAAATGTTTTGATTAGCACTTGTTGGAATTCTGAGCAAGGGTTTAGTCAGTACTTTTTTAACCCAGACTAATTAATCCATCCCTTTCTGGAAATTTCAGTCTATTGTGTCATTCAGCATAAGGGAACAGAAGTGTTTTCCATGATCTATGTAATAATCAGTGTTTTCACCAGTTTAGGTTGCCTATCACAAAGCAAAGATGTGCATTCCCAAGGTGCCAGATGTTTACACCACCGTGTAGGTGAAATGTAGTAGAAAAAGATGTCACACAAAGCAAAGATGTGCATTCCCAAGGTGCCAGATGTTTACACCACCGTGTAGGTGAAATGTAGTAGAAAAAGATGTCATTTTGATGACTCTCTTTATGGCATATTCCTACCAGTGCTCATTTGAGAATCTGGGATGACAGAAGTAAATAATGCTGAGTACTCCTATAGCACAAAACACGTTCAAAATTAAATTTTAGTAGTAGTAGGTTGAGAGATCTCTGGAAAAGTGAATGTGTACCAAAGGCAGAAAGTAAAAGCTTGACTGTGATAAAACCATGTCAAGCCAAGAAGTGCTCCCTGGGGACCAACTCTCTCATCTAGAAAAATAATAAAAAATGCTTCCGTGAGAAGGTAAAATGAGATGCCTAAAAGCACTCCAGGGAAATTATTCTGGGGGAAAAGGTAATTGTTTAATTTCTCACTACAGATCAAACTTAACTTCTAATATGGGTAAATACTGAAATTCAAGAGAGACCTTGGAAAAATTTAACAGTTATTAGACTTATCTGTGAAACTTAATATACTTGCTATCCAACCTGACATTACAGAGCTGTTGAGATACTGCAGGGAGGTGGAGGTAGTTTTCTCTTCCTGATATTTCAGAACAGACTGAGATTCCAGATTGGAGATGCCTTTGGTCTGAAGGCCATATTCATAAGAGCTCCAGCACTGTGTAGTTTTGAGAAAATACAGACAATATTTGAGCCAAAGTCATTGTATGTCACTTGAAGTAAAATTTCAATGAAAAAAACCCATGCCATCAATATTTTGGTTGTTTATATTGTGCCACAGTAAAGATCATTTAATTTTGTTCCCTAACCTACCCCTCCTGGCATAAGATACTTGATGCCAGAGGTGAAACTTTTCTCCTCACACCACATAGAGCAAAGCTCCATTGTATGACTTACCAACATTGAGAAAAAGGACTTGTAAACCAGTGGAATTAAACACAACATGTTAAATATAGATCTTGGAACATAAGGGATGAAAAGATAAATATAAAATACATACCAATAATAGCAATACATAAAATTTCTGATGATTCTCTGAGTATTTTTAGAAAGCAGAGCATTGCTGCAGTATGCAACTGAAATATCACCCAGTGAGACTTCAGCATAATTAAGCAATGATTAATCAATACTTAACTAAAGAAATTAAGCTCAGGAGAAACAATTAATTGAAGTTAAGTGAACTTTGACAGCTCATATTAAACCAAGGCTCTAATTAACAAAAGCATTGTGCATCCTCTAAATGAAGGGATGTGCAGGCTTCAGGTGCCAGGGATGGGGTGAGTGTTACTCTGCAAATTTCTTGATGCTGAGGAGTCACTTATGGAGAGCTTCATTTCAAGGCTTTGAAAAGAGAAGAGGATGTTTCTTTGGTTGCTCACAGTGCTGTTTGGTGACTTGACTGTAAGTTTTGACAGTTCAGGTGCTCTCTGGTGGAACAAATGCAGTCTCCTGCTAGGGTTTGCAGCCTAGCCCCATGTCCTTCAGGCTCTTGTCATTTAGGACCAAGCTGCTGGATGAGGTGGCACTGCTGTAATGTCAGTGGCATTGCTGAACTCTGTAGAGCCAAGGGAACTTCGGCCCTTCACATCACTTGGAGCTCCACAGCCCAATTTCCTGCAGGATTTGTGGCTGTGAGGAACCCCAGCAGGGGCAGCTGTCCCCAAAGGGCTGAGCCCAGGGAAGGTCTGGCACAGGGAGATGGGAGGAACAGTCTGGGGGACCTGAGAGAGCCCAACTGTGACAGAATTTCCTCCTTCTCATGTCTCTCTCCTCTCTGTTCTTGTGTTTTTATCTTCCCCCCAATTTCTTTTCTGCAAAATTTTCTCAAGAAACCACACAGTCAAGATATCTGATCTAGTGCTTCTGAAAAAATTGATTTATTACCTGGAGAACAAGCCTGGTGAGGGGAAGGAGCAGAATACAGGGAAGAGCTCTAAGTGACCATTGGGGTTTCTTGGCTCTCAGGAAAGGAAATGACCACTGGTTCTGTTTGCAGTAGTCAAGCCATGTCCAACAAACCCAGGCTCGTGATGAGTAAGGGCCAGGAACAGGGGATGGAGACTAATCTCAACCCCAGCCCACCTGAGGGAATTATCCCTCTAGAGAGCAGGGCCTTTCCTTCATTGGTTTTAGAGGCACTGGAGAGTAGCACAAGTCTGAGATGAGGGGAAAGAAAAGAGATATGATTGGCTAGTGTCTTAATTGCTCTGTTAATTGCTTTGCCTCTGGTGCTCCCATCCCTGCAGAGAAAGTGCCTGAGGGTTATCTCAGCTGTGTGAGTTCCCCTCAGTGATGAGCAATTATCTCCCAGGCAGAGACTACCAAATGTGGCTGTCACAAGATAGCTCCATTTGAAATGATGGATGGGCACAAACGAAGACAAACTTCATTCCCAGAACTCAAATTAGGAGCTGGCATATTCTCATTTGTGTGGATTTGGCCTGATTTTGTAACAGTATGAATGTCAAGGTGTACCTCACCAAAGATTCAGGTCCTGAGCCCAACTCCACAGCTGGAGCCCAACTGAAAAGTCATCTTGGACATTTACAGGTCTGATTTTCCTTTTGTTGAGGCCTCTACAGGATTGGTGTGGCCATGGAAATGTTCTGGGTGTTTTTTGGAGGAGGCAGCATTTCTCAAACCAAAGCTGGGCTATCCTGATTCAGTGAGTCCCCTGCTCCAGGGGGTGGAGGAGCATTTGGAGTCAGGTTAGACAGGGCTGTTGGAGGTAAGGTAGTGTTCTGTGCTTTAAAGCCACAAGGCAGGAAGAGCAAGCTGAGAACATGCCTCGGTTCTGCTCTTTGAGCAGCTGCACAGCAATCCAACAGAGCTCCAGGTGAGGCACAGTCCTGCTTTGTGGGGGAACCTGTGGAGGAAGGAAGAGATTTACTCTGCAGGAAGTTCCAAATCCTAATGGGACAGAGGAAGAAATTGAAGAAAAACAAAACACATCCCCAAAGGCGAAGGGACCTGCCTGTGGCCACTCAGTAAGGCAGTAGCAGGGTGAGGGAGCACACCCTGTGCTGGTCCCATAAAGCCTCTCCAGTGAGAGTGCCTGGTCTGGTGCTCGTGTGGGTGAGTGTTCCCAAGCAGCTCTATAAATGTGCATTATTGCTGTGCTCTTGCTTGCCATATTTCCTCTTCTTTATTCACCAAGTGGTGGGAGCTGTCTCTGGCTCATCAATTAAACCCAAGAGTGATGATTTCCAAAGGTATTGCTGCTTAGTGAAAGAAATTCATCCTTAGGCTAAAGGACAAAGCACAAGGCCTAAGTGTTATTTAAATGGCTCATAAAACATGTGCTAGCTCTTTAGCCAGAATGAAAATCACCCTTAGCCAACATAGGAAATATCCTGCTTTCCTCTGCCTTCCCCAGTCTTCTCATGATGATGAATTTCTTTCCTCTTGCTCCCCATTATTTCTGTAAATGAGAATATGCTGTAACATTGCTGAGGTTGGGCTAATTAAATCAGCTCTTTCTTATCTCATTGATCTGCATTTTAAAGCTGAGCTGATTAAGGATGAGAAACTATATTTGATTAGAAATATGCTTTTGCCAGTTAGTTACATCAAAGGGTAGATTACAGCCAAGCAGAGGAGCTGAACCCACATGGCTGTTCTTTCTCCTGGATGTTAAAAGGAAAGAGAAATAACATGAAATAAAAAACAAACCCCAAGATGCATTTCTAACCCATATTTTTTCACGGCAAATTATGATACCTTTGTTTTATCCTCTGTAAAAGGAAAATAAGAAGAGAGACTGTGATACAGAGAAAAGATTTCCAAGAGCTGTGCAATACTATGGATAGTGTTTTACCAAACATCCAGCAGAAATCTCACTAAAACTGCAATCCCTTCCTGGTTTTATGGTGGCATCAGCAGAGTCATTTAGCACCCAGGACCAAATGCTTACCTGAGCTGGCAGCCAGATCAAAGGCTCAGAGCAGGTCCTCGACTGGTCCTCTGCCTGGGCAAGCTGCTCAGCTCCTGCCCCAACCACCATGACTGTTAAAGAAAACATTATGCCTGGGGTGACTGCCTGGCAAAGTCCTTTGTAAAGATCCTTCATGTAGCAAAAGGTTTTGGTGGCTCCAACGATTGCTCCAATATCTGCAGCTCAAGGAAGGGTGAGTCAGGAAAATTTATAGAAGGCAGAAATTTTAATATTCTTCCTCTTTGAGTTTTCCAAGAAGACTCAGTGCTGTATTTAGTGCCACAAATTGGAAGATGGAAAAGAAACCGCCTGTCATGTGACCTCCTGCATTGGGCCACCATGCAGCCATCAGAACAGCTCCTCATTTCTCCTCAGTAGAGTTGGGACTGACACAGTGACTTTGTTCCTGTGTGCCACTGCTGAACTGTTGTGGCAGGTGTTTGTTTTATTAGTTGTTCATGTTATTGTTAATGGTTTGTTCTGATGTTATCCCCGTTCTTCCCAAGTTGGTTTATCCCTGAATATTATCCCTTCCCCTGAACTTTCCTTCATTGTAAACCCAACCCTCTGTTCCCCAACCTTCCCTGCCTATCAAGGCAATCCTAACCCTTTCCCTATCAGTCATTGTAAACCCTGCCCTTTGTTCCAGACCCTTCCCTGTCACTCCTGCATTGGGCCAGCCCCTCACTGTACCTCCCCCTTTGAAATCCCCTAAATCTGGATGTCCCATTGGCCCATGTGACCTGGTCTCTCATCTCCCTTATCCTCATTGGTTTCTGTATTGTAAACCCTGGCTCATGCTCCTCCCCTATTGGTCTCTGATTGGTTAAAAATTTGTACCCACCCTTCTGAAATCTCCCTTTATTTAGTCCAGAGTGGAGAGGTTCTCAGGGGGTCTTTGGTCAGGGACCTCCTTCAGCAAATAAACCTTTCCTTGCTGGAATTTCATACTAAGAGCCTCCTTCTCCTTTACCCAGTCTTTGACAGTGGTAGATGATTCTGATGGTTGAGCACAGGGCCCAAAAGGTTCTGCTTCTGGTGAAGAGAACTGTTGGAAAGGTAGAATCAGAAAGGAATTATAAATATGACTCTTTAGCCAGAAAGGCTAAGGAAGAAATACAAATGAAAGCACGCTTTGAATAATTCAAAGAAACCGGTCTGCTATGGCAGGACACATTCTTTCCCCCAGTAAAACTAAGCTGAGACCCCTGTCCCCAGCCTTATAAAGAAAGGTCTGAAGGACCCTGAGATAACTAAAAGCATGCAAAAGCAGCGATTTCTATAGGTTGCACACAAATGTTACTGTATTAATATACTTAGATTGGTTAATGAAGGAGTAGAATATTCACTGTATAGATTATATAAACAATTGTAAAGGAGAGCTCGCTCTCTTGCTGTTCTTTCTGTGCTCTTGCTTCTCTTTTTTTTTCCTGCTCTTTCTGCTCTCTTTCATCCTCTTTTCCTGGCTCTCTCACTTCTGTTCTGTTACTCTCTTTCTTAGCTATCTTAAGTCTTAAACTCATGTATTCATATTCTACCCCCTTTTGTATTGTTCTCTCCAAGCCTGCTTTGAGCTTCATCTGCTGGCTTCTAGCAGGGCTCTGTCTCTGAAATAAACTACTAACATCTCCACTATAGAGGTCTCTGCTGTGTCCCAGACAGTCCATGCCTCGAGGTATCTCTTACAGAGAACGCTGAGATCGTTCCCTCCGAGGCAGTTCTGCACACCTGGCGTGGCTGCTGGTGGTGTGTGCTCCCCTGAACTAGCCTGGGCTCCTGGGCTCTGGCAGAAATGTGTCACTGAACTGTACAAGGAAGTGGAGCAGAGCCTCTTAGACCTCCCTTCTCCAGACACTCTGGCTGCAGCTGAAAAAGGAAACAGCAGTTTTACCCTTGGAGTAATACTGTGCAATATTATACTTTATTAGTGACATCTGAATACCATAACCAGCAGAAATGAGTTCCTCTCTATAGCTGCACTCTACTCCTTTGCCTTTTTGCTCAAAACACTGATGTGAGGGGACTGCACGTAGGAACTTGAGCAAAGTTTGTTTTCCATTCAAAAGCAGGAATAGATTACGATGACAGGCTACTTGCAGGAAAATATTTATTAAAAAACACATCCCAGACATCAAGACTTGTATGCACAGAAACAGCTTTAGACCTAGTCCTTAAAATGTGATCAAAAACAATTGAAAACTAATCTGTACATAAATTTAACCACCAAAGAAAAATACAGAGTGAGAAGAATGGTCAACTTATCTGGCATGGGGTTTCTAAAATACTTGTCTGATCTGTAGAGAAACAAAACCAACTGTTACCAATTCATGGCTTATTTTTTTTTTTACTTGTGTCACAAGTGAGATAGTGCAAAAAGCTTATTTATTTACTTTGAAGAAATACAGATATTTATCCTTACATGAGAATTAAAGAAACTCTCTGCAAGAGATTAATCACAGCATGCCACGATGAGATTTAACAAGCATGAGATGAGAATAGGAATTATATTTCTATTTTTGCAGTGGCTGTATTTGCTTGTATTACTGTTTAGAGATAATAGTAGCTCTAGAGGCATTACTGTTGAAATCCATGAAATTTCCCTTGAATTAAAAGAATCCTTTAAGGAACAATAAGGATGAGGAAGGTGACTCCAAACTAGTGAGTCTTCTTCCAGAAGACTGATTGCTGTAAACGGTAGCTCAAGTTAGAAGGGATTGAATATGCTTTGTCCTTCAAAGAGTTGGACTTCATGCATTTAATTTTAGTTTTACATGTTAGGCAATGGGATTTACAAGGAAAGTACTCAGGATTCAGGTTTCAGAATTTACCCTCAAATGTGAATTTACTTTATGCACAGTGACCAAGACCACATTTCTGGATAGCCATCCACCACTGTCAGTTTGTCAAATAAAGTATTTAATAAAATCCCAATTCAGCTTTGAATACAACTTCCAATTGCCTTTTTATGCACCAACTACCCAAAAAATTTAATTGATAAGTAAATAATTGTTCATTTTTATTAGCTATGTGACAACAGAATTGATCCTGTTTAAAATCTTTGAAAGTTTCTCTTCAGTGGATGAATGCAGCAGCCCAAAATGATGGCCTCCATTAAACCCAAATTAAAGGCTTATTTATGATATTCAGTTCTTGTATTTTTCCAAACAGGAGGTTAACTTCCTGGCCAAAGAAGGTCACCAGTACCTTGGAGCTAGTATTTATTTTAAAAGATCTGTTTCAAGAACATTCATGCTTTGATTCATTAGTTTCCTCTGCGAGGCAATAAGAAGATGCCTGTTTAAGAGACACTGCAATGATAAAAAATAATAATGTCTGAGTAATACTGGGGGTGGTGTTTCCAGTGTGTATTGAGGAGGCATTTGAGTGAAACTGTGTTGCCAAGTTTGCAGGTTTTTTATTGCAGTGATTAATAGAAATAGTTGTTCTACTGAATTCAAGGTTGTTATTCTGTCTAGGTTTACAAAGCCTGTTCAACTGGAGCTGTGTACACATGTTCAGGTGTAAGTGAGGAGGCCACTGGCTGATTTCCTGCTCTTAAATGTGATTGAATATAATGTGGCGTTTCTAAGGAAGACTTTTTCTATCTCATGTCTAAGAAAGCTCAAAAGTATATTCCTTCCATTTATTTGTTCATTTTAGAATAGTATCAATTGCTTAAAAAATCTCAAGTAGTTGTATCAGAGAGGCCAACAAGAGGTCCTCCTTTGTGTAATATGGGAATCCCCCATGTCTCCCCTCCATCTAGATAACACCCAGAAGCAATATGGGAAACTCTCAACAGATGGAGCCCTTTTCAGCCCAAAACTGTCTGCAGAATAGAGCTCAGCAGCAGCAATGTGTTTGAAGGCAGGTAGGTGCCTTGCAGAAGCATGGGATCGAGCAGAGAAGAATTTTCTCTCTCAGAGCCTCTCCTCAGGTCTAGGTTGCACTGTTTGTGCAGTCAGAGGGGTGATTGTGTGTTTGACAAGGTCTGTGCAGACACACCTTTTCCACTGAGAAGCTGAGACTTCTGACCATCCCTGGCTGCTGGGCAGACGTGCCCATGTGCCCACACATTGTGCTTGAAGCCAGTTCCACCTGGATGGATGCAATCATTTTCAGGAATGAGATGTCAGTCAAAAGCTTAGGAAATGGAGGCAATGCTTCCCTGGCTCCAAAAGTCTCCCTGATCAGTGGAAAAGGGAACTGGGGGAGCTTGTAATCTTTGCTTTGAATAAGGCTCTCTTTAGGAAAGCTTCTCATACTTGGGTGAGTGGATTGAGCTGGTCTGAGTGACAGAAAGTAGAGTGGTATCTCAGAGCCTCTTCCAAGGTTACAGAATGAAGGAGCTGTGGTAGCAAGCAAAGAAGAGACCGTCATGCATGTTCCCAAAATCTGAAACCCCTCCTGAATGTTCATCTCAGGGCCAGTATCTGTAAGGAACAGCTGGTAATGGCAAAGGGTTATGCGAAACTGGAACTCGCAGTTTGATCCTTTAGCATATCTAATTATTCAATTGATTTCAAAAGAGAAGGAATATTTAATATGTCTAATTGAAGCAGAAGATGGTGCTTTCAGTTTAGCAGAGCTTCCTCAAAGGGTTGCATAAAGTCTAAAATTAATACTCATATTTTTAAATTTATGGTCTCCTTATTACCAATCCTACCATAGCTGAAATATCACACATTTTACATTTTCTGGGATAACATGCAGCACAACATTTTGTGGCTGCTTTAGCAAGTTTAGAAAATCACATTGCAAAAAAAAAAAAACCAAAAAAAAACACCCCAAAACAAACCTTTTCTGCAGACCGGATAAAATAAGGAATAAATCCAGAGTGAAAACATTTAAATGGCAGGCAAAGCCCACTGTAAAAGAAACCTCCATGGGAATAAAAGAAAAGTCTTTGATCTCCTGTGAGTGATAACAGTTTCAAAATCTTAATGCCAATACCCTGCCTAGTAGGGCAACAGCCTTTGCAAGCACAGGTCAGTGTTCCAGCTGCTGACATTGTGTGTCCAGCCAATTCTTGTCCTTTATTTCCCTGGTGCAGTAAAGCTGATGAGGGACAGAAGCTGATTGAAGACTGTAGCGCCCAATTTTTCAAAGACCAAGTGTTATTTAATGTTCAGCTGGAAATCTGTATGTGGATTTAAGTCTGGGCTGATACTTTAATAATTACTCTGGCTGTTATGTTTCCCCAGAACGAGGTCAATCCAAGGGTTGTATTAAACTGAAGGCAATTAGAGTAGCTTCAGAGCAGATTTTGTTTATCATTGTGGCTATAACAAGTATTTTTTTGTTTGTTTTTTTTTCCCAGCCTGTTGGGCTATGTAAAGTGTGACAAGGGATATTACTTAACAACAGTTGGAGGCCTTTGAGGGAGCAAAGACTGACTGATTAGACTTAACTTGTCATTTTCTGATGAATTCTTTTGAACAAAAAGTAACTCGGGCATGTGGTTAATGGTAGTTTTGAAGGACGCAGAGGGAAAATACGGATAAAGTTAGAAGTTTATTAGGGTCATTAATTAAAAAATAGATTAGAAATCAACTGGAAAGGTAAGTAGAGGGTGCTTTAAAAATAATGCAAATGTTATAAAATAAGCAACAGTTGCTTTGCTTTTTATAAGGCATCTTTATATGTACTGCTACGAAAAATCCTGCTTCAGCTTGTTTAGGAAGTAGTAAAATTAGGAGTGAAATGAGTTTTGTAGTCTATGAAAATCTGAGGTTCCAACAATTGACCTTTGGTAAGACAAAATTAGCAAAGCGTAAAGTTTCAAACAAAAAATACAGAGGAAAAAACCAGACAAAAATAGAGTTTCCATCTGACTTAGGAAGCCTAGGTTTCAAATACCAGCTTTATTTTTAGGAGAAGGACTGGGACTCCCCAGATCAGAGCAATTACTTCTACTATATTCAAGGAAACCTGAATGTTTCCATCATGTCAGCTTTTGGTTTTGACTCAATGTAATTTCGCAGTGAAACACAGTTTTGGCTGTTGCCTGTGTTGAGTGTGAGGGTGGCAGGGGGTGTGAGAGGTGGTGACACTCCATCCCCACAGTAGCTCCGTGAGGATGCTGCCAGAGGGTCATACAAATTATCTGACATCTGATCACACAGGGGTGGCAGGTGTGATCAGTTCAAAACAGGTGGAAATATCACACAGGGAAATCAAAATGATCACAAGTGCTGGAGAAGCAGCAGTTGGATGAAGTTCAGCTGTTCAAAATGCAGACTCACCTGGTTTTGGCCATTCTGCAATGGTTTGGGACAGCACTTAATGGGAGAAGGAGGACACAGGCATGGCAGCTGGTCAGGGAAATCATGAGTCAAACATAAGCCTGTGTTGTGTCAGGGAAGGTGTTTTCATGGGGGAAGAGTGAAGAATTTAATAGCCCAGTACTGGACTCCCTGAAAACTCACCTGGAATACTGACTGCCACGCTAGTTAAACTTCTGCAAGAGTAATGCACTGAGGCAGGGGGAGATTCAGTAAAAAACTATTCGTTATGATATGAAAAGCCAGAAAGAATCAGACTAAAGGCATTTGGAGTGCAGTAGAGTGTTTCTGATGGTGACCAAGAATAAAAGCTTAACAAAGAGTGTAAGATAGTATAAGCATGAGTAATAGCTCCCCAAAACACTGTCAGTCTTCAGCAAATTTCAATTTAAAACTTACTGTGCAAGAGGCATTATCTCTGCTTTTGCTTTCTTCCAACAACTGTTTCCTCTACTGGATTTGCTCCCATACCTTCTTCTGCTCATGGTGCTTTCAGCTTGCTTTCAGCATGTCTGCAGCAGCAGATTCTGGCATTTCTGTAGACACAAGCTGTGGGAGAAGCATCAGCTTCTGCTTCTTTGAAAACCGATCCTTTTTAATTTCTCTAATGACACTAATTCTTACTTTTAAGAAGCCAAAGAGAAATAATTTCTTGTTCATTGCTTTCTCCCTAACAGTGATCTGGGAAATGGAAATGCCTGTCTTACACCAAGATAGCTTGGCTTGTTAATTTTAACACAATTAAGGATGAGGGAACACAGCTGCTATCTGAAAATGGGCACTAGGCTACACACCAGTGAAGAGCAAGAGCAGTTTCAGCTGAAGAAAAATTTTCAAAGAACAAAAGAACAAAGAACAATAGGATATTGAGAAAGAATAAGTTGAAAAGTAGAAGAAAGATTTTAGCCATGAAGAAAGTGAGATCCTGGCATAGTCTACTGGTTAAAGGTTAGCTTTGACTGAGCTATATTTGTACAAATAGATCTATTTATTTTGAAGAAAACATCTTCACTTTTCCCTAGGAGCCCAGGAGATCAGTTGCATCAGGTGTGTTAAATTTTCACATGATTTGGTTAGCATCTCTTCAGGTTGCCTTTGAGACTCTTGTCTGAATGTTCATGACCCATTTATAGGAGGATTAAGCATGGCCTTCTACTCATGTCTGCAGAGATACTTGAATGAATGACCCAGATGCTTTAATCACTCAGATATCCCTCCTCTTGGAAGGGGTGGAGAGAATCCTGAGTGATTTAAAGAGAGGGCATACATTTAATTAGTGAAAAATCTCATATGGCACAATGACAGAGGAGCCCACCTGATTTGCTGGGAAGGCTTTTCCCATTTTCTGCCTTATTTTTGGGAATGAAAAGTAGTTTTAAGAACCTGCTCAACTCTTGTCACTGCAGGATCATAACACTACACCTTCCGTCCATAATATTTTATCCCCTCAAAAACCTGCTCTGATGGAGTTTTGTTCCAGCAGTTCCCCCAGAGGACTTTGCTCTCCTGTCTAATAAATTTCACAGTTAGGAAGCTTTCTCTCATGCTTTGTCACTCAGAGCCACATAAGAATGGATAAAGAGCTGCCTTCAGACGTCAGAGATGAAGAGTACTTATGTTCATGGGAACAATCCCAAAAGGAGTGAGATGAAGAACTACTGCAAATATCAGCAGTGTGGTTACCTTTGCTCACCTTATATAGCAGGGATCTAGCAGGAAATGCAAAGGTGTGAATTTCAGCACTTGTGAAATGCCAGATTTACAGCCTTAAATAGCAAATTCTTCTGCCTCTCCACAAAACAAATATAGCAGGATGTCCACTGTGAGAGTTTTCTCACAAGTAGGCGTCAGCCCAAGGGTGAGAAATGGTAAATAGGCACCCAAGGTGGGGAAGAAGTGGTCTTTCGTCCTCTGAGTGACAGAAATTGAGGCAGGGTCACCCATTTTCGCATTGTTGATGTTTGACACAGATGAAATGAAAATGGTTGTTGTGAATATGGGTTCATTTTAACATAGCAACGGAAGATTTCTTTTCCAATGGCCAGCCACTGAAATCAGCTTATCACCTGCCAGTGGATTTAAAAACAATGTCATGGAAGGTGATTTGGGCTGAGATGTCATCTATAAAATATTTATTATAATGAGATATATGGCTTTCAGTCACTTATTGCATCCCGCAGTAGCTGCTAGATGGGTTAAAGACCAAATTACTCAATCCTAATGTCATACACAGCTCTTGCACAGTATTTTTATTGCTAATTACTTGGTGGCATTATATTCACATAAAATAAGACCAATATGGACATGGCTGTTTGGGCAGCCAGGTTGGACCTTTCCTGTGTAGCTCTTTACCTTGTCAGCAGAGGTGAATCACTAGTTGAAGCAAGATCCAATCTGAAGCTGGAGTGTTTAATTACCCTTGAAAAATGCAAAGGTCAAAATAGGACAGGAACGACAAAGTCAATTGAGCATCTGGACAGAGTCCAAGCTTCAGTCCTCACTGTCATCTCCTGGTTTCTTCTTTTGGAGGAGTCTACGTACAAATGTAGTTGTGTGAAGATACTTGTGCTGTATTCTGTAGTTTTTTCTCTCTTTTTCTCCTTTTTCCCCCTCCTTTCCTTCTCCTCCTCTTCCTGCTTTCTTTTGCCTTCTCCCTCTTCTCCTTCCTGCCCTTTCTTGCTGTCTTCTCTGGTTCCTTGACCCAGCAGCCAGCCCTGCCCTGTGTGTGGGGACTCCTGTAGCCCTGACACATATTCCTCTCACAGATTCTATCTGTGGACACACACATGTAGGATCTGTACATCAAAACACTTTGCATATGCGCATCTGGTGCATAAATATGCAGGCAGAGTGGCACTTTGATAGAATCAATTAAAAGCTCTCTCTGCAACACTCAAGTTTTGCTGATCGTTAATCACAGATGTCTGATATCTTTTTATCTCAAGTCAAAGATTCCCTGTCTCCTTTATAGCAATCAATACACTGGGGTTGTCTCACCGAGTCCATGGATTCTCATTTCAGTTGTCTGACAGGACAATAACCGTGTGATTCTGACCCACGTAAGAGGCTGTGGGTGACGCATGTGAAAGACTGCTTGTGTTGTATCTATAATTCATTTGCAGCTTGGTCTCTTGAGGGAGCGGGGGGGAATCATGGCAGCTGTTTAACAACCCTCAGTTACAACTGAAAGTAAAGGGAGCCACAATTCAGCTGAAACATTATGTAAAGATTGTGCTCACTGGGCCAGGGAACCTGAACTAACATGTCTGTTTTTGTGAGGAGTGTTGGGGGATTTTTAATGGCTGTAAGGTCCTTGATTTTATGGCTCAGTCAGAAATACAATAGCCATAATAACATATTGTAGTGATACTATTCTTGCAACTACCAAGTTTTAAGGATGTGTGAAAGAAAAAGTTACTGTGGAGAAGTAATACCATTTATTAGACCAGAAGAGACACCTGGAAAAAAGCTGATGAGATTCCATGGACATCGTTCTTTCTGCAATTCTCAAGCAGAGAAAATAGATGAGAAACTAGGTAGGGCAGGGTTTAACTGCTCTCAGTTTAACAGTAACACATTAGTTGTTTCAGACAAAGTGGCTGATGAAAATGAGGCCCCATGGGACAGAGAGGGATGGGTTATTACTGCCCCAATAGCCATGTCAGCAGCAGGATGTGGTACACGTGGAAAAGGGCAGTGCTGGACCAAATCCAGCATGTCACAGCATCGTGGAATAGTTTGGATTAGAAGAGAACAGATTGTTCCAACTCCTCTGACATTGGCAGGGACACCTTCCACTAGACCAGGTAGTTTTAACCCTGTCCAGCCTGGCCTTGAACACTTCAAGGGATGGGGCATCCATAGCTTCTCTGGGAAGGGTCAGTGGGCATTGCTGGCCCTGCTCTGACTGCAAGGTGAACTGATTTGTCTCTTAGAGTAGGTTAAACTTCCGTGTTTCACCTTTTTGTTGGTCTGGTTCTGAACATAGCTTGGACAGTTTAGCTGATGCACCAAAATCTATTGAAAACCTGAAAAGCAGATTAAATGCTTCTATGCAAAGAGAGAGAAATTGAAACACTTAAACTCAGCCCTTTGTAACAGTCAAGAAGATACAGGAGAGGACAGGGGAAAACACACAACATGTTTCTAAGCAGCTGCAGAAGTACCACAAGCTCACAGATCTCAGATGCTGTATTTGGGGTTTTTATCCTCATAGAGGAAGTAGTAAACCTAAAAATATAACACATGTGAAGGAAATAATGAAATAGCTTTCACAGGGGAAGAAATGACCCGAGCTATCAATCACCATCTTGGGAAAGGTGTTTGCAGGGGTGGTGAGAGAGAAGATGAATGAGGTTGGGCTGGCTAGATGGACCTGTGACCTGAGCACTGGATGGTCTTAGTGGCCACACAGAACACTGCTCTACTCTGGTTCTTTCTGGTTCACAGCCATGAACCCAGAGCAGAGTCAAGGCACCTCTGCTTCCTGGTACTTGTCTGAGCTCTGCTTTGAGTCCTTTATGAGTTTTCCACATGCCTTTGCTTGACTCCAGGGACACAATGGCTGTCTGCCAGCTTTTGTCAACAGCATGTGCAAGGACACTGTTTGCAAGACAAAATAACTGCTGTTAAGATTTCTCTGTAAAGAGGAAGAGGTTGCTTTATTAAAAGGTCGGTTCTGCATCTAAGAGGTTAATAAGTATTCGCTGCCACTCATCAATGTCAAGACTAAAACCAAACAGGAAAATGGCAATCTCTTTCTCTTTTGTAAAGGAACTTGTTGAAATAACTGCCTAAGTCTGCCCTCTGTTTACTAAAACGGCTTCGGAAATCTCTAAATCCATTTATCCTGGGGATTATCATCATCTGGTTTCCAGACAACATTCTCATTTCCTCCAGTGAGGTTTTCTGATACCTTAGGCCATTAGCTGTGGTATTGATCTTTTCTTAAGACGTGAGAATTCCTACAGCAAAGGCAGCTCTGCATCTAAAAACCCCAAGCCAAACCTGTTTGTATTTGAATAGCCAGAACAGCATTGTGTTAGGCACAAAATTTAACATTCTGTAGCTTTTGTTTATAATAAATGTATCAAGGCAGTCTCTAAAGACATCTTTCACAGAATAGACTGAGCCTGTTATCAGCCACTTGGGGAAATTCTGTTCCAGAAACAAAAGCCTGTGACATGCCAGTCCTTCAGCTCCTAGTCCTATGGCTCAGCCCTGGGGAAAGAGATAACAGGCAGTGCTTGGGAGTGCAGCCTCTGAGATTTCACCTGTCTCTTCCTACCCCAAAATCCACCCTCCTCACAAATCCTGTGCATCAGTCCATAGAAAAGTAGTAACCAAGACCCTTGTTACTCATCCTGAATCATCTGTCAGGGATTGTCAGGATGGTGCCTCTGTAATAGAAATGCAGGGAAGAAACCTCAAAGCAGAGTCTGATAAAATAAATCACCACACTTTTACTTATTTTTTCCTTCTTTACAGGCCCTTTCCCCTTTTGTCTCCCACTAACCAGGAAATGTTGGAATCCCACAGTTACTCCTCTATTAAAGGAAAATAATCCAGTAACTTCAGGAAGAGGGAGATGAAGGCAAATGGGAAAGAGGGTGAGACATTGGACCATTTGGACAGGTGGGAATCTATTGCTACTTCTAAACTAGTGGGAGCTTGTTGAAAGGCTTACATTTCTCAGAAAAAAAGTTTTCTCTGTAGCTGTAATCCATGAGACAGAGAACAAAGAGTTAAGTTCATTCACCTTAGCTATCAGGATAAACTTGTTTTCCCAATAGTTCAGCCAGAATCTTGGTTTAGATAACTCTTGTTCCCCTATCCTCCAGTTCCACGACCTTCAGCAAGTCTCTCTCTGTTAAACACATGAGTCACCCAGCCCTATACAGAGTTCATGGGAGGGGAGACGTTCCCCCAAACACTGCAAAAAGAAGATTGACTAAAAATGCCTGTCATGGAATAGGAAAAAGATTGCTAGAATTTGCTTCTTGCCAGTTTGAACTTCTTTTGGTGCTTGAAGCATAATTTTCAGCAGTTACAGAGAAGTGTGATTTAAAATTTCTTAATCAGAAGAACCCTCAATGTATGAAAGTCTTCATTAACACATTGGAGCAGTCATTATGGTCAAAAAATTCAAATTTGCGTGCCTTAAGTAAGAATAAGTATACACTTTATCAGTTTTTCAGTATGTCTGAGCACCTGCAGATAACATTTAAGATGAGTTAATTACAGGATCCTAAATATGGATTAAAGGATTAGTTTTAGACATCAAATTGTGAAAAGTTTAGCTTATGTAACTTACCAGGGCCACATGGAAAGTTGTTGGATTTAGATGTAGAATCACAAATCTTCTTAAACAGGAGGAAGGATGCAGCAAAAGATCCAGGTTTGTCTTCCTTGTTTGCCACAAACTACTTCTTCCCAAAACCCAGTAGGGAATTAAAAACCATAGGACTTAGTGTTCTTTTTCTGAAGTTTCTTTCTTAATTGTTTTAGCAGTTAGGAGTGATCCTGCAGTATAACAAACCAAAACTCCAACCAACAAGCAAACAAATCCCTGAACAAAACAGTCATTTTAGGCTATAGACAGATGCTCAGAGTGCAGCCACCTCTGCCAGCTGATGATATTATCGTGTTCAGCTGCTATTTTGCAGCTCTGAATTTGTATCCCTTTCCCTTTTCCCTTTCTGCAAGCATTTCAGCTCTTCTGGCAAAATGAGTCCTGTGAACCCTCCCTAACTCAAACAGTAAAAATAGGTGATTAGAGTTATTTCAGCTAGTTATGGTTGAGGAGCATAGATATAACAGTGCTGAAATGGGGGTGGAGAACAAGTAATTTTTGGCTACAAACAGTAACAGCTTCAACATAAAGAAGAGAAAATTTGGAAAAGGACACTACTTTTACAAGCTGAACATACTGAGTTCAACCTCACAGCCCTCAGACTAATTACCCTGAGATAAAACAAGTGGATTTTAGCTTTTCCTTAAATAGTGAAGATAATCTGGTAGTGATTTAACAGTGACTGTCGCAGCAAACAGATTCAGGACTAGAACTCAGCCAAACAAGCAATGTTCTTTCCCATGCAGTGTTTTTAAACAGATACATGTGCTTTTTTTTATTAAAAGTTTCTTTCTGTCTTGCCTCTTCTTCTCCCAAATCGTGCCAGTGAAAACTCTGCATTTTCAGAATTTTATCTAGTTATATGCAATATCAGCCAGGGTCAAAGATCTTCCTTTGCTGTTATTTCGAGCCCAGCTGCCAAAGAGGAGCTGCACAAAATGTCAGCCCGCTGGTGGCCTGTGAGGGCTGTACTAGAGCAGCACTTCAAAGAGGCAGCTGAGGGGGAAATTGGTTCTCATCTCGCCGTGGGGACCCGTGTGATTCACAGAGACCCCGCTGGCGACAGCGACGTGGCCAGAGCTGTGCGCGGCTCCGCGTGGGGAATGAGGCTCTGAGAATTCACACAAATTAAACCTTCCTACTTCAAGCAAAGTTTGGATTCCTGTTGGAAATCAAAGCGCCTCTTGTCGCCCCTATTATGCAAATAACATGATGAGGAGGCTGGAGTGGCAAGTGTGGCCAGTGGTCCATGAAAATGTTACAGCAAAAGCCACAAAGATCTTATAGCAGCCTGGAACAAACATCTTTAAACTACTAAAGTGAAAAATCAAAAGACATAGGGTGGTAGAACTATGTTATTTTTGAAATACGTGATTCCATTAAGATAAAATATTTATAGAAATTAGATCAGCTAATAAGGATTTAATTTTGGAGAAAACTCATAAAATGCTGGTCATACCAGGGCACATTTTTCTCCCTTTTTGGAACAAAAATTTCTAAAGGGAAGGTTTACGAAACAAAAGTGAATTAAAATCATTCATGGCACATAATAAAGTTGTTGAAAACAAAATGCTGATTTTCTGTCTCAAATGGAGTTTGTGGATCACCCAGATACAGGTATTTTGGTGGGGGGAAGGAAAATTTACTCTCAGTGAGAATATCTACCTTATAATGTATCAATGTAAAATAAATTTTATTACTGAATTTCCTCACAGAGGAGAAATATTGTCATAACACAAACCTTTGTTACTTGGACATGGGCAGCAGTGCTGTGCCAGCTGCAAAGGAAGGGTTATTCTGGTGAAGAAATTTTGCATTTCCTTTGGTGTTCCTCTGTGATTAGGGACCCTGAGCGATGAGAGGAGGTGACTTATCTTGAGAGGCTGATGAGGTTATCACTGCCAGTTCACTTCCCCCTTCCACCCTCCCCAGTCTGCCCTACTTTACCCTCATCCCACTCACCAATAACTAAACTACTTTTCAAACAGCACCAGGACCACAGGGCAGAATTTTAAGGAAAGCAGAGTTGGCGGTGAGTTTCCATAAACTGTGATGCTGATGGCTGCAGTGATGAGGAGCCTAATGGATGAGCAGCTCAGATGTCTCGCTGTGAAGGGCAAAGGGGCTGCCAGAGGCAGGACTTTGTCTGTTGGCATCTTAATTGCCAGATTTCAGAACTGCACATAAAAATGCAAACCCTGATGCTGCCCCTGGCAGCTTCTTGGAGTTGATCTGATTCACACCAGCCCAGAACACAGTGAAGAAAAGCTTTGAAAAGCAGGGAATGATGGTCTTGTAGAGAACAGAATCAAAGTTAGGAACAAGATCTATGAATTAACTGTAAATTTCAGTAGCTACAGTAGAAAAGATGAGGCCATAAAAGCAAGTGACAACTAAGGAGATGACTGTGGATCCCATATGGCATAAGTCCACTCCATTAAGAGCACACTAGGGCTGAAGTTTGCATAGACAGCAAGAGAGGTAATGTAGAGAATGGCACTGAGGGCAGTGAATGGAAATGCCCATCTTTTGTAGTGACTTTACACTGCCAACAGGTACTTCACAAACTTCTCGACACATGGCTTTTTGATTGACTATGAAATTTTATTTTCCTGACTATGAAATAGGCAGCAAATCTGAGCCAAGTGTGGCTGCAGACTTAGAGCAGGACGTGAGGCAGGACCTTGCACACATCAGGGAGTGAGGGCTTCCCAGGGCTTGGAGTAGCACAGATTTTGGAAACCCAGCGTTGGAAGGCAATGCCTGCTTGTAGACTACAACTTGCTTAGGGTCCTCAACTAGAAAATGTTACTGGACTATTTGTAGCTTCCAGGAGCTGAAACAAAAGGTTTCTGCAGCTATACCAGATGCGAGACTAGGTGAGCTTTTGGAAGCAGGAGTTGTCCAGAGCAGTTGTGCATTCTCCATCCCTGGAGGTTTTTAAGGCTTGACTCAATAAAGCTCCAACCTCCCCTGATTCCAAAGCCGTGCTTTGAGTAAGAGTACAGAACTCCTGAGGTCTTTTCTAGGCTGAATTATCTTATATTTCCCTTTTTATTTTCTGATACCAATTAAAGTGAAACAGTACCAAAATATAGCAAGAGAATTTATGCAATTACTTACTCGTCCCTTGGTATTGCTAATGAGTGCAGAAACATAAAAGATCCTACACCCCCAGAGGATTTTGGAGATGGATCTAAGGAGAGGATGGCTCATATGCAGGGCATGATTCTTCAGGGGTTTAGCAGCATCAGTCCCCACTCAGTGCACCAGTCAAGGACTCAAGGCTTTCTTCTGTGCTTTCACAACCACCCTACACACTCCTCTCTGCCACTGTAACTCCTGCTGTGAGATGCAGTGAAGTCTTCCTTTCACCTCCCTGTCAATATTTATTGTGCATGTGTAATTTGAATATTTTAAGATAATGAAATAAAATTCCTGTCTGCATTCATCAAGACCAATATATCTGCAGTATAAAAATCTGAATACACAACAACTTGAAACTACCAGAGGAGATAGTGAAATAGATGAACCTCTGTGTAATAAATGAAAAACTTCTTAGTCATAGCAGTGGTGCCAGTGGGGAAAAGTGATTGTGGTGTCTCAGGTGCCTCAGAGAAACCCTTTTCTGGCAATTACACAGCTTCAGGGTTGGCAAACACCAAAGATTCATTGGCAAACAATGTTTGTTTTCATACTACTGCAACAAACACGTGGAAACACACTTGTGGAAAGTCTCATTTTAAGGGATTGTATCATTTTAAAGGAGCACTTCATCAAAGTGAAGATGATTATAAGTTTAAGGATTAGAAATGGTCTTCTAGGCTTGATCTGCAGGGTGTGACTTATGGTTACTGCCTGGAAAATGCAGTTCACCTGAAAATTAATATCTTAAGATTATTTAAGTATCACTGGCTAATGTGAACAAGCTTGATTAAGGCAGTTTTTAGGAGGTGAATTAATTGCAGGATATAGACTTTTAAAGAAAAACTGTTTTCCCAGAGCTGTCCACATATTTTGTATGATCAGTCAGACCCTCCTTCTCCCTTCAATATTATTTTGATACTGATGAATTAATTTGCATAAATTATTAGATATTGAGTGGGGAGACAGAGTATGAGAAAGGAGGGGATGTGTCTTAGGAAATTCCTCTGGGATGACTGGGGGAGGCTACGAGGAGGGAGTTGAAAATTGGGACGATTTAAATTAGTCACTGGCAACGGAGAAAGTAGAACAATACCCGAGACACACAGGGAAATGTGGAAGGAAAGGAAAATAAATCTCTGGGTACAGATACAAAGATGTTCCTGGGCCTGCATTAGCAGAGAATTCTCAAGTCCATAAGAGCTCAAAGCACGTAGAAAATTTAAGGAGAAACAAAAATGAAAGTTTTATTATTATTTTCTTGTCATAGCTAAAACAGGGAAAGGTATCATCTACCACAGATTAGGATAAATGAATTTCTTACGGGGATGAAGGGAACCATTTTAAACCATTCAGTTTGATTGCAGATGTCAACATCCCAAGTGAATTTGTAGTCTTGAGGCTGGAATCTTACTTGTGCTCTGCAGAAGTGGGAGAGAAGCCAAACACATCAGTGTCACATTGAAACCAGGGCCCTGGGGAAGCAATCCCTCCCAGGAAACTCCCACCGGATGCTGAACTGTGAATCATGTGTGATTTATACTTCTGCTTTGATTACAGCTAGTTGGGAATTACTTCTAGCTTTCCTTTCAGAAATTAAAATTCATAAGAGATGCCTTATTTTTTATTTTTTTTTCTGCTCCCCTAGAACATAGATGCTTGAATGGAGCAGATCCTCAGGTAATATTTCTGAGCATTACCAGAGAAACAAAGAAAGATACAGAAAAGCCAAGATAGTAATGATACCAGCTGGAAACTAAGTTTAGAGGTAGGTCTTAGTCCAGTGCTGCAAGGAAGCAAGAAAAAATCTGAACCAAGATCCCTCCTACATCCAGTCTGGCCTATTGGTTATTCTGGTTAATGCAATATTGTGTTGTGATTGTCTCACTGTGTCCTATTCTGATCGGGTCATGAATGGCTCTGAAAGACTTGCAGTGTTGTATACCAGCACTTACCTGGAAAATCTCTCCTAGCCATTCCTCAGCCGAAATCTCTTGATTTGCTTATATCTATTTTTGTTCAGTGTTTGACTTCAAACAATGACACACATCCTTCCAAAAAAAAAAAAAAAATATGGAAGGAGGTACTTGGAATAGTCTAAGTCAACACAGACTCAGTAATTCATGGATTTGTAGTTTCTCCCTCTAGCAATTCCCTTCCAAACAGCCAAAAACCCAAGAGGACATGAAAATTACAAAGTGCCTACAGTCCCTTCCTTGTATTTAAGATCCCTCTAGCAAGGCTTTATATTTGCATTTTTTATCCCCTTCTTTCTGTTGTCTGATTGTGGTTGTAAAAGAGAAGACTGAGGGCTTGTGTTTGACTTCTAACTTTATCTCTGCAGTGTGCAATCAGAAGTGTTTTTCAGGCAGAAAGAACACTTTCAGGCAGAAGTCTCGTGTTTGCCTTTTGTTCCACATGAAAGAACAGCACAC